TGAATGAATGAACTTGGGCTAACTTTCCAGCTCAGTGGCAAGCTTCCATCACCTAGGCCCACCCCAGTAGTGCCAGCGTATTATAAATCAAGGGATCAATACACTGATAAAGTCAGACCTCTCTATTGGAGCTGGCTACCAAGTCTTCAGCAGACGAGCCTTTTGGGGGAAAGCTTCATATTCAAATTACAGTGCCACATTGGGTGATATGGCTCTCTTTCGGATCATGGGGTCCCCTACCGTGCCACAGCTGAACCCCATCAGATCAGTGATTGCCTCCTCCAGGTTGCTGTCAGGGCCTCACATCTCTATCAGTGGAGTTAGCATCTAGAAGTGCTGCCATAGTCCCCTCTCATCCCCATGGAACCGGTTTGACCGGATGTTCCTTAGCTCCAGTGTCTTTGTCATTTCTGGGGCCACTTCAACAGTCGTCTGACAGATTCTTCAGGCACACATCATCCTGATTTGTATCCAAGTTGTTGGAGATGCAGTGCCTCTGAATGTGTGCATGATTCTGTCAGAAATGTCGCCCAAGATACAAGTATCCACTCATGCAGCGTGGGAGCAGGTTTCTTTCTTTGTAGCTACATATTTGTGATTACCACAAGGTAATCACTTACTCCAGTGCTTTGTAAAGTGATCTTTAAATGATCTATTTATAACACATTAAGCACTTGCTTAATGAGGCCGTAACCCCAGGAATAGTGATTGAATCTGGTTAAATGTACTTAGCCCCTCCTTATGACTCTGCCAGCCAGCCCAGTATGCATTCTAATCGTTCTTGAGTTAAGTCCTTTCAAAGTCATGTCCCTTCTCCCAGGAGTCTCTTTTTGTTCAAAATAAAGTAATTGAGAGATCTCTTGTGATGTGTGGATATTAGTAAGGTCTCACACAAGGTACGTTTCTGTACTGGAGATGTGTCCTCCTGTGGGGCAGAGGTGTTATATCTGACCATGTGGGAATTCACAATTAAAGTAGCAATGGAAATGCCCACCTTGAAGAATTCACAGAGGGTGAGGCTCACAAAGGCACTTGGCCTTTCCCCAGCATGCTTGGTAATGGCAATGTCCCCTAGCTCCTCCCTTGTCACTTGTGGGCTCCTTTCTTTTTTAAAACTTATTTATTTTTGCTTCTTTTTGTGTGCATGAGTGTTTTGCCTGCATGCATGTAAGTGCACTGTGTACATGAAATGCCTGCAGAGACCAGAAGAGGGTATCAGATTCCCTGGAACTGGAGTTACTGATGGGTATTAGCCATCATGTGGATGCTGGGACTCGAAACCAAGAGCAGCCAGTGCTCTTAACCGTTGAGCCATGTCTGAAGACCTACTTCCTGTTTTTAGTGGGGGAGGGACACATTTCACTCGCTTCTTTTCTAATCTCAAGGCTTCTTGGTAGAGGGACTGATACTTCAGGCCAGTTTCTATTCCTTTTCTGAGTATTCAGTAGAGGCACGTTGAGTTGAGTGAATCAATAAATGACCAAGTGATCTCTAATGTCTTTTGTTTGTTTTTTTGAGACAGGGTCTCCCTGTTGCCCCAGCTGGCTTGGAACGCATTATGTAGACCAGGCTGGCTTTGATCTCACAGAGATCCAACTGCCTCTGCCTCCCGAGTGCTTGGACTCAAGGTGTGTGCCACCACACCCAGCTTCTCATGTCTTCTTGACTTAAATTCTCTGGTTTGATTCTTCTAAAATGTGTTAGCTGCTTCAGAGAAATTTAAGAGCTTCCTTAAAATAAATGTTAACGGATTTCTTCTTTTAGAAAATATGCATTATAGTAATAACTACTGATTAGTATGTCACAGGATGCCATGGGAGATGAAGTAGAGAGGGTGTGGCATGCTGGTATGTGGCTGGTCACAAGGGGAGGCCGTGATAATGACAGTGAGGACAGCATCCAGAAAAGCTGTGAAAGGAAGTCTGTCACCCATGGAAGTCCCAGCCCCGGAGGGTGACTAAGGAGTGTCCCTAAAGTATGACGAACCTTAGGCTACATTCGTGGCTCCAAGAATTTCTCATAGGTTTGGAAAACATGAGATCCTTCTTAGGAAAGAAAATCCACTTACACGTTTCACACTGTGACACTCTGAAGTAGAGATTTGTCCATGAGCAATTCCATGTTCCATCCATCCCCTGTTCATCACGCAGAAATTGACATCCAGTTAAAGCACATTTTTGTATAGAAGGAAGAAAGAAAAAGAACTTAAATTGCAACACTGAAAAGATGAGTGAAGTCCAAGCCAACTTTTATTTCTCATTAGTTCTTGAAAAAGTTTAAATGACAGTTCTGAAAGTAAACGTCAATAAATCCTTTCCACACAGATGGCCCTTTTCAGTCAATAGAAAGAGGGTGAACTGCACTTTTAAGTATTTAAGAGATGCTGCTTGCAGATTTGCTAATTAGCTTGTGGGTTTTGCCTCACCGCAGACCCATTGATCTCCGTGTCAGACGCTCAGGGCGATGCAGAAGGCCACTCAGACAGCAGGTGGATTGGGTTCTGGGTGGCACCATTGATTTCAGGTCATGGCCCTCTGTGTTGTGTTTAGCTAATTTTAGATTCTGAGAGAGTTGGTAATAAGGGGTGGGAGCTGATGAGTACAAGGATATTCACAACAAAAATAAAACAAACCTTTGATCTTTACATCCAGCTATTTTGAACTGGAGAGCAGCGGCCTGAGGGATGAGATCCGCTACCATTATATGCATCGTGGGAAGCCCAGGACGGAGGCCCTTCCCTACCGCATGGCTGACGGACAGTGGCATAAGGTTGCGCTGTCAGTGAGTGCTTCTCACCTCCTTCTCCACGTGGACTGTAATAGGTATGTTTGACTTTGATCTTTACCCTTGAAACCCTGTCCTGTAAAGGAAAGGGGGAAAATGCCAACCCCCTTTCAAAACTTGCCAGGAAACCAAAACCAAGGGACCTTAATTGTCATTTAACCTGCTGAATGGGCCATTAGTTATGCTGAAATATCCAACTGTAATTCGGTAAGAAAACAGTTCATTAAGATGGAACAGATGTAGGAAAGGTTGATTACAGACTGGGGACTCTAAGTGTCCCTCAGTGAGCTCTGGACACTGGTTGAACATCCATTGAGCTATGATCACAGTTAACAGTGATAGATTGCCGTTGAGTTCCTTCCACTCAGGAGCCAATAAGTCAGTCTACCTTAGAATGAATCCCAGAAGCCTCTGCTGTGGTGGTGGCAGCTAATTCCATTTTACCTCATCAAGTGCAGTTTTGTTGAAGTATTGTTTTCCAAATGGAGCCTTCCTGAGGGGGTGTTCTTTGAATCTTTTGCAGTTGGGGCCATCTTTTCTCCACAGAGAGAGGGGCCTGCTACTTGTCAGCAGACAGCAAAACGATGGATGGGGTGGGGTTCACAGGACGCTGTGGGCTGTGGGGAGGTGGAGGTGCACTTCCCTGTGTCTGTCTGCAGGCAGGCTCACTGATAGCTGAGGGAAGAAACAATGGGTCTGTTATGGCATTTGGAGCAAAGGGACAGCTGGGTAATGCTGGTGGGGGGGTGTTTTGATCTACAGAACCCACTGAAAATCCTTATGCATAGTGACAGAGGCTAATGATAGAGGCTCTCTCTCTCTCTCTGTCTCTCTTTCTCTCTCTCTGTATTCTAAGCAGTTCTCATACATTTCTGTCTTCAGTAATGATGTCATCAAAGGGAAGCTACTGTCCAGCTGTAGGCATCTCCCAGGGCCAAGGGTAAAGGGGCAGGGATGTTGGGGGCAGCCTCCCATCTAAGGGTATTTCCAGGGCAATCAGAGTGTGCTCACCACCCCAGCAGCCCAGCTCGGCCGTCTCCTCTAGAATGCTTGGAGGCAGGAGAGGGGTGTCAGGATCCAGACAAGGCTTGTCTCATGAGACTTGATCCATCTTGATAGATCTAGTTAAGATGCTTCCCAGACACCCAAGGTCTTTCCACTTCAAGAGCATAGCATAGCTATGCCTGAAAAAGGTTTCCATGGGAACCACGGGTTCTTTTTACCCAGCAGACCTGGCCAGGCAGCCTGGATGAAGCCAGCCCTCAGCTGTGCTCTCCATTTCTACCTTGAAGAGCTCACTGGGTTTTTCCAGTTCCTTAGAAACAAAGTGGCCTGTTAGGTAGCTCTCCTTTATCTGTGATTCTGAATGGGCAATTAGGTATGCTGAAATATGCTCAGCACTGGGGCTGCGGGAAGGAGACTGCAGAGGGAAGGAGCCGCCTAGCCTCCTAAACCATCAGCCAGGTTGGCCGTTTTCAACGCGCCGCCCGAGGTGCTGCTATCTCCCCGCCACGCGTTCTATGCACTTTTGTTTCAAACGCTTTACTGTTTCTTGACATTGTTCACTTTGAAGAAGAGAAAAAGGAAGTGTCTGCTGTTAGCTGCACACTCAGGATTCCACCTCCTGTGATGTGCTCTCTCTCTCCTCGGCCCAGTGCTTGACTGTAAGTTCAGGCGGGTTAATGTCTTTGCATTTCAGTATCTTCTTTTGTAAGAGGGAGAATTAATGCTCACACACAGTTGGCAATTCTAAGCAATGTTTTAGCCAATGACAAGCTCCTAGGTCATGTCCCCAGGATGATGGACGTTTGTCACCATCTGTGTGTCACAGGTACTCCTGTGATGACACACCACGCTGCATGTGTTCATAAACGAAATGGTAAATATCCTGAGCAGTCCTTAGACCTGTGCTGCTCAAAGCACATGTCTTTGTTGGCCTTTCATTGTGCACATCTGTGGCACCTCTGACCTTCCCGCCAAGCTTCTTCCAGTATTTATCCTTCCGGCTCCAGCGGCCTCTTGGTCAGGAGAGATGGAAGTGGGCAGGAGCTGCTGGGTTGCTGCCGCTTACACAAATGAGCAAGGGGATTCTAGTTTGTCTGTTTTAACTATTTATTTTTATATATTTTTCACTTTTTGGCTTGTGGCTAATATGTAAGATCTTATGGGAGAAACTTATGTGACTATTCTAGTTAATGATTCCAGGGCCCGAAGCACAAATATATTTCTAGACAACTTGGTGGGTAACAGACCCAGAAAGAAAGGCAGAGCCATAGGAGAGATAAATTTTGGTTTTTATGAAGGAAAAGTCTGGAAGCACGGGCCCCCAAATTGACTGTGGCATAAAATTACCTGGGGGTACTTATTAAAAAATGCGGATAACCTGGCCTATCCCTGACCTGCTGGATCGAATTCTCTGAAGGTGGAACCTAAGAAGATCCATTAAAAAATTTTAGCTAGTACGCAGTGTTTGTACACACGGGAACTGTGTGATTGATTACTCAGGTATACAGTGTATTTTGAAATCTTCAGCATTTCTGTATATTGTAGAATCTTTGGATTCTTCTAGATATTTTGAAACATAAACTGCTACAGACAAAATTAGCCCACTGTACTACAGAGTACTAGAATTAATTCATCCTATCTTTCTTTTCTTTATTTAACCCTGCCCTGGGTGCTTCCTGACCTCTAGGGAGCACAATTCCATTCTCTTATTCCAAGACCAACGTTTTTAGCTTCCACAAATGAGTGAGAAGGTGAGGTATTTGTCCTACTGTGGCTGGATTATTTCACCCAACCTAAAATTCTCTGTTTCCATCTACAGTGCCACAAATGACAGGATTTCCTTCTTATGGGTGGTGAAGATCCTATTGCATAAATATTTTAAGAAGCTTTCCCTATAGTTTTGTGCGTTGGTGCATGTCTGGCACTTCAGAGCTGCAGGTATAGCAGAGGGGGAGGTGGTAGGGAAGATGAGTTCCAGTGGACGAACCAGGGCTTGGAACACAAGCGTTGATTCACAGCCCTAGGGAGGAGAGGATAAAGGATGCAGTGGTGTGCAGTGCAGGAAACAAGCCGTTCGTCTTCTCAAGTCCCTTCTCAGCCAGCCTAAGCCGACCTTAGAGCAGCTAGGGCTTCCTATAGGTACCAGGATGCTGAGGCCTCTAGTTCCTGTGGCTGCCCTCATGAGCATGAACATCACAGAGGCTCACCCCTCCCTCCCAGCTGCGCGTTTCCTTCCGCCCAGAGGTGCCTGTTTTGTTTTCTAATTCTTCTTACCTTGTCTTTTTCTTCAACACTAACACACTGGAGTCCTGATGGTAACATTTGAGTGCTGACTGTGCTCAACCAAGAGCCTGGATTAGAGGCAGGAAGTCTCTCCTTTCTAGTGTGTTCCTTTCACATGTCCACACTGTTCTCTTGGGCATCTGGAAAGATCTGGAAAGATGTGTGTAGGGAGCCATGGGCCCCCTGCCCAGAAATAGTAGCTATTGTATGCCTCAACCTTGTAAATTTCTTCATCCTGTAAAAACATCCTGCCTCATGGTCTGGCTGTGGAAGGTGCCGTAAACAGCACCTAGTTTCTTCCGCCCTCTGCTTCCCTATAAAAGCTTTGTACAAACGTTCAAGAAAGAGAAGAGAAAGTGAAGTGAACCTCATCTTGGCGTCCCTGTTGTCCTTTCCTCGGCTCTGTTGGTCAGAGTCGTGGCTTGTGGCAAGTGGTGGCCCATACGGGGAATCTTCCAGCAGATCATTTCCCTGTAGACTCTGGTACATGCTCCAGTAGATGCGCAGGCAGTTCTTTTCTTTCTTCATGCCCCGCTTGCAGCGGCAGTTGTAAAGAGACTTTTGCTTCAGGGCCTCCATTGCGCTGCGACACTCATCCTTGGCCTCCAGGCTGGAAGCCAGGCTGAAGTTGATCTCCTTGCCTGCCACACACTGCCTTAGCGTGCGGTACTTGGTGCTGCAGCTCTGTTCTTTCAGGCACTGATTGCTGGCTTTCACGCAGTCAAGGCGGTCCCCGCCACTCACTTTGGCAGACAGGAGCAAATCCAGGAGTGGTAGCGCGAAGTACAGAGTGGCCAGGAACATGGTGTCGGCTCGCAGCTGGTCCCCGCCCCCCCAAAAAATCCAGAGTCGCCGCTAGGTCTCGCCCAGAGAGTTTAGCATGCTGCGATCCCCGTATGGGCCACCACTTGCCGCAAGCCACGACTCTGACCAGCAGAGCCGAGGAAAGGACAACAGGGACGCCAAGATGAGGTTCACTTCACTTTCTCTTCTCTTTCTTGAACGTTTGTACAAAGCTTTTATAGGGAAGCAGAGGGCGGAAGAAACTGGGCAGGTAAGTTCCGCTGTTTACAGCACCTTCCACAGCCAGGCTCGCAGGAGGCAGGATGCTTTTACAGGATGAAGAAATTTACAAGGTTGAGGCAGACAATAGTTACTATTTCTGGGCAGGGGGCCCATGGCTCCCTACAATGTGGACTGGTACCAGGGAGAGACCCGTGTTTATTGATCCTCCACTCCCAGTTAGGCCATGCGCTGGGATTAATATTTCTTACAATAACCACATAGTCACTGTATTATTAGGCCTGTTTTATAGATTCAGAAATAGAGGCTTAGACGAGGTAGGTCACTTTCAGTCAGATGAGCATCGAAACAAACCTTGACATGGAACTGCCTCCCAAATCTTAGCCTCTCTGCCACCTTCATAGAGTACTCACACTATGTACTGTCCAAGATGAAGTCACAGCCCCAGGGAGTCTTTGCAGGGCAAAGATTCTGCAGAGGATTAGAAATGCTTCTAAAATCAACAAGCCTATGAAATGGGAGAGAATCTTTGCTGTACTTCAGACCAGGGATTAATATCTAAATATATAAAGAGCTGCAAAAATTAAACACCAGAAATCAATGAACAGACCAAGGAACTGAACAGACAATTCTCAACAGAGAAAAAACAGGACTGGAGAAATGGCTCAGCAGATAAGAGCACTGGCTGCTCTTGCAGAAGACCTGGGTTTGGTTTCTAGCACCGACA